GGTGAAAAACAAGAGAAAAATTCGAAACTTCATATTTATTTTAATATAGGTTAATCAAACGAGAAAACTGCCAAAGCAAACGACAGGGTTGCTCTGAGAGCAACCCTTTCGTTGTTTCTCTCACAAAAGAACGTAGCCCATTTCAATGTTGACGAATTTCCCCGCGCAAATAGCACGTTTATCGAGAGAATTTTGGGAATCTCTAATTGAAAATTTCACAGATTTTTTTTCTAATCTCATGTGAAAATCAGACAAGTTTGCAACAAAAATTGCGGGGGAACATACTTGCAAAAATTTGAATTGCTTGAGTCAATGTTACTATCTTGGAGTGGAGTTACGTTCCTTCGTCCGAAGAGCGACGATTTGAGACATTTAGGATTTCTTTAGACACCCTAGTGGCGTGGCGTACTTTGCGATATATCGATTGATCTGCCATTAAACCTATGTAAAAGGATCGATAAGCAGACTGTTCGCAACGAAAACCTAAATAATCGATTCTCTACGGTCGCCTCAAATGGGGAAATATCGATACTCAATCATCCCCTGATCAGTGGTGCGTGTTTTGCGATATATCGATTGATCTGCCATTGAACCCATATAAAAGAATCTACATATAAACAAAGTGTTGGCAACGAACACCTGGATAATCGATTCTTTACCGTAGCTTCAAGTGGGGAAATATCGAAACTCGATCATTCAGGGGATCAGTGGCGTGGCGCGCTTTGCAATATATCGATTTATCTGCCATTAAACCTATGTAAAAAGATCGATGAACAAGGTGTTGCTAACGAACACTTAAATAATCGATTCTTTACCATAGCCTCAAGTGGGGAAATCGATGATCGATCATTTACGCCTCGCTACTGCAGGGGATGCGTGCGTTATGACAGGGAGGGTTGAGCAGTCAAATTGCTTTAACTGTTTCGGGGGGTGAGTTTCGGGGGAGGGGAAACGTCATCCGGCCCCCGAATCCGCATTCTCGAGGGGAAGGGTCTCCCGCGCGGAAACAATTGGCGAGGATCCTCGCAGGGAAATCGAAGAAGGAAACGGGGAAAAAACAAAGAAGGAAAATATGAGCGGGCATTTCTCTCCGATAATTTAATCGGGTGGATTTATCGGAGTGTTGCGAATTCGATTCACGATCTCAACCCCCTCCGCGGCCCGGGCGGGCGACCCCTAACCCGGCAGATTTGTGATAATACGTATTTTCACGGCCCACTTCATTATCTCCCGAGGGATGCCTCGTCCGGACCCCGTCATCCCTTTCACTTTCGCTCCGACGTCAGCGAGCCCCTCGGGCGCGTTGAAAAGCCCGCAACGGCGCTGATTGGCATGTTGGCAATGTTTCATGGAACTCACGATGGTTTAAAAAAAACGCATTCCTAGCGCAGAATGTGAAGTTTAGGGTTTATTTCGGAGTTTTTCAATTCGCACATCGCGATTATTAAGTCGTTCACTATAAGAATGAACTTTTCTTTTCGCACTCACTGGAAAAAAAAAACACATTAATTGAATCTAGAGTCCAGACTCTTAAAAACATCGACAAGATAAAGTACTCTTGATTCAATCAGATTCTAGCTTAAGTCAAGAACCAAGCCTCTTAATTTAAGCGGATTTCGTTTTGATTCAATCAAAAATCCGATTGAATCAAGAGTATTTTTTCTTTTCAATGTTTACAAGAGTCTGGACTCTAGATTCAATGTGTTTTTTTTTTTCCAGTGTAGCTGAGGTTTTCAACAGGCTCATCTCACTATTGAGGGGCTTGGGCTTGGACGACAAGGCGCATAAGTGCAATTTTTGCAATTTCGAGAAATACGTATTTAGAGTTTCAAGACTATATTGATTTTTTTTTGGGGGGGGGGGTCAATCTTTCAGGAGGAGTTTTTTAGGATTGGGCCGGGGTGGCTACCGCCACCTGGAATCCTCATAACGGGAAAAAAGTTCAAACTGATTTTTTGATGCTTAAAAATTGGAATTTGGGAGCGAATCTATCACAGAAGCTGCGTTAAGGCTAATTTTGAAATCATCAATATCTCAAATATTTCAAAAACTGCAATCATGCGCCTTGTCCTTTACGCCCCTCAGCGGACCACTAGACAAGGTACGAAGTTCAGCATTCTGATACATGTTTCTTAACCAGAGTTTCACGTAGAACACGATTCTTACATAAAAAATCACTGAAATCAACTCTTTATATAGATAGATATTAATGTTTTAATTTTTCATTGATCACGGGAAATTTGAATTGCCCGGTCACAAGAAACACAATACTCCACGTAAGTCAAATCATGCACTACAACGGTTTTGGCAGGCTTCGCAATCAAACCTTCTTCATTTCCCACCATTTGTTGTTCAGAGTGTAAACAATTTGCCGGAGCTGAGCCGAAGCGTCAAGCTTGAGATTGCCATACTTCCATATCGCAAAGACTGTCACGGTTAGAGTCCCTTTATACTGTGAGTCAAGACAACACCCCCTCATGGAGTCACAAACGGGAATAAAGATTACACAAATTGAACGTTTTTCGTAATCTTTGATCGGCCCATTCTCAAATTCCTTTCTCCGTTCCTTCTCTCATTCCGTTTGTTCCTTGTCGAACCCGAAATTCCTCGGTCCATTCCAGATTATAATCTTTGCAATTGGTGAAAATGTAATCTTTATTCCCGTTTGTGACACTGTGAAGGCCTAAAATCCGGTTGACCAATCAGAAATGGATTCGCATTGTCTTGACTCTCAGTATAAAGGGACTCTAGCCACGGTAACGTTTAGTTTGCGATCTGACGTACGTAGGTCATTGTGTTTTTATGAGCGGGAGGTTTGAATTCACGCGCCAAGAAATATTTAATATCTTGGTCTGGAGTTCATTTCAGTAATTTTTGATGCAAGAGTCGTGTTCTGCGTTAAATTTTCGCGAAGGCACATTGAAGCTTCTCGCTTCAAAAACTATACACAGTCACTGGTGAACATTTGGACTGCATTTTGCAATTTGGAACTATAAATTCTGGCTCTTCTGGAAAAACACTTATGTGCGTAGGGAAACTAATGGCACATACGTTGTTTTTAAACCGGGCTAGAATTTATAGTGCCAAATTGCAAAATGTAGTCCATTTGGTGAGAGGCGTCGTTCCACCCAACCCTTGCGCACCAGGATGCTAACCAGCTAATAAAAAGTGAAACTCCAAGACTCTCCTTCAATTTAGCGTGATACCAAATACCTACTTCGGAATTCGAGTAGTTAGTCGTTTTCTTGATATCTGCGTATGAAAGAAGAAGAAATTACGAGTTTCATTTTGTTTTTTGTTATCAGGAGAAGTAAGCGATAATATTTCCAGCGGATGCCTTAGATCGAGGCTAATTGTGCGCTTTTTATCTCAGTATCGCAGAATATGCGCAATTTTTCCAGCGATTTTGAAGAAAAAATGAAAAATTTCAAAAAATCACCGGCAAAAATCGCAAAAAATTTCAAAAATCAAACAATATTACAAAATATCGCGGCAAATACAAGATTTCTCGCGCGGTTTTGAAAAATCATTAAAAATCTTGCTTAATTCATCAGAAAAGTGGGGCACAAATGCAAAGTTTTAGCGGATGTTTAGCATCACAAATGATCACACAATTTTCACCTCAATGTCACGGAAAATAGGCGGTTTTTAATATCGATGCGAGCATAATAATCATTAGCGTCAGTGTAACTTGTTGAGATGAACGAAAACCTAAGAAACTCCTTCAATTGCGCATGATACCACATACCTACTTCGAAGTTCGAATAGTTGCTCGCTTACTTTCCGCGAAATTACTTTTCCGTGAAAATGTTTGTCATTACGCAAGTTTCATCTCAGTATAGCGAAAAATACGCAAAACCTCCAGCGATTTTGTGGATAAAAGAAAAACTATGCGCGAATCATCTCGGCATTGCAGAAAACTTGCGATTTCTTCAGCTACCTATTCTATGAAAAAAATGAGTAATTATTAGATGGTCACCGCAATATCGTGGCAAATCGAAGGTGTAAGTCGGTGATCACATAACTCGTTCGCGACGTCCGAAAATCTCCGCCACTATGTTATTTTTTTAAAGGAGAACAAATTGACATCATTCCTTGAAGTTTTTGCAGAATTTTCCTCGCACAGAGAAGAAAAATCACGGCAGTTTTAAAGAATTGCCGTTGGGTAGTTTTCCGTTTAGAAAATAAAGTATGATAGGAAGTCTGCGACGTCGCAGACCGAGTTATGTGATTGCCTTACTTACAACGTCGAAATACTTCTTCAAAGGTTTCATTAAATTATGATATAACGAGTAATTCACTTTAATATCGCGGCATGAAAGCACATTTTCCAGCGAATGATTAAGATCACCAAAGATCACGCAGATTTCAACTCCATATAGAGCCCTGGATAGACGATCAAATTCTTGAACCAATTCCGATCAAAGTAGCATCAAAGTGTCGGGAGTCATCAGTCTTAAACTCATTAATTTGCTTCATTTTAAAATGAAAACTTGGCAGAAATGTTTCCTGTGGCAGGAAATGATGAATGGTGGCACTCCATTCTGATCTTACTTTGAACAAATAAGTGCGGCTCGTCAAAATTTGATGGTAGATGGTGACCATCAGTCATCAGCATGTCTACTTTGATCGGAATTGGTCCGGAATTTGATCGTCTATCCAGGGCTTAGCGGAAAGTTAGCGATTTTAACTCGATGCGAGCTTAATTCGTGCTTCTCTGACATAAAGGCGTAATTACACTCTGCAATGAACCTTGTCCTCCATACAATTCAATGCTTTTGTGGGCTCATCTCAATGTGTAGTTACGCCCTTATGTACGGATTTTGCACACAGAGCACCCGGGAACACTGTTTTTTACTCACAATGCAGTGCTCTGATGTTGTTTAGGGGGGAGGGGGGATTCAGCGCTAGATGATCTCCGAAGTTACATTTTAAAAAACCCGCGTTCCTGTTGACTGTTGCGATCCCTGTTCAACGGTTTAGATCGGTCAGGTAAACAATCATGGCGGAGTTGCATGCCTGAAATTCAGAACTCCAGATTGTGACTAGAAGATCAGGGGTAATTTTTAGTGTAAAATCGCAAAATGATTTATCTCATTCAGTTCTCTACATGTGTTCAGATTGACTTATTGGAGTAAATTATTCCGACGGAAACGTGGTTACCTCTCGGACATTCAGCTCTGCTCCAAGGCCGGGATCCATCGGTAGTTCGTCCATCCGTATCTGCTAACTGTTGCCTTTGAATTTAAGATTTTGAGACGACCTTAAAATACTCGTAAGTATCTTAAGCTAACTTGTTTCTTTGGAAGAGAGTGAAGGGATGTCTGAATGAGCGATGCGTACTTGCAGCACATCAAAGATGTATTCTGTATGCAGGCGGAGCACGATTCAGCGATCTATCGCTGGTCGGCTTACCATACCCTATCGCTTTAATGGTAGCTTGTCCTATCAGTTGACTCACCTCATTACCTGTGTTAATCACAGCAATTTCAATTTGCATCTTCTGATGCAAGTTGCGGGAAATGAATTCAATACACTTTGATTGTGGAGTGCAACGAAATCTTGTTCCTCACTTACTTACACATTACCTAACAGCTCTCTGAATCCGCAGGTGCAATAAAAGTAGTTAAGGCAAGCTGTAGCTTTCCCCATCTGTTTGTTTTCCACTCATAGGCTCTGAGGGCATTCAAGTAATGTGCTAGTGAAAAATAAGATTATACCAGATTGTGATCTCTGTTAAGACAGTTTGCCCGAATTCCTGATTCTTATCATTACTGCTTTAATGTTGGTGATTTCAGATTATAAAGCGTGCCTTCATAAGAGCCCCAGTTGGAAGTAGATCTTCTGACATGGGTATGTGGAAAAGGCGAACTCACTTTTATTTACATTCAAATTAACTTGTAGCGTTCTCTAGTTCTTTTTAAAGCTTCACCTTGTGATTGAAATCACATCCAATTTGGTTAAGTCTGTTGCAATTTAAATGTGAAATAATGAGGGAAAGAACTTCGGTAAGTAGGGTAGACTTCACCTAATACCTGAGTCACCGAATTTTTCCTCTTCACAGATAAAGAAGAAGTGATCGCACCAGTAAGACTCTAACGCCTTAAGGGCCAGATACACCTGCGCGCCAAACGCAGCGCCTGAGGTGTTTTTTTTTTTACCAAAGAAAAATTGCCCAAAAAAAGTTTAACCAATTTTATTTTGTATTGGTATGCTTTCGATAGTCAAAATGTTTCATTTTTCAGTGGAAAAAATGAAGAAACCAGTGAGGCCGCGATGTTTCTTCGACATAGAGGTGGGTGGTATCGCAATGGGACGCGTTGTGTTTGAGTTGTTTGCGGATGTTTGTCCCATCACGTGTGAGAACTTCCGAGCCCTCTGCACTGGTGAGAAAGGCCTGGGATCAGTGACAAAGAAACCTCTGTACTACAAAGGAATCGTGTTCCATCGTGTCGTCAAAGACTTCATGATCCAAGGTGGCGATTTCACGGTCGGAAACGGGACTGGTGGAGAATCCATTTATGGTGGCAGCTTTGATGGTCAGTATTTTCTCTCCTTTATCAGATGGTTATTTTTTAAAGAAAATGTACAACATAATGGGCCAGGGGACACCCCATATTACACACCGCCCTATGAAAATGCTCAAAATATTTTCTTCTTTTGGTGAATTAATCTAAAAAATGAAATCTTCTCAAACACTTTTAGATTTAATTTCAAAGGAGCAATGGCTTGAAATAATCTGATATCACACAGAGTACCATAGTCTGATGAGAGAGTGAGTACACTTTAAAAGGTGTTATTAAGTAAGTGTTGAAGTCAAATTTTGTGTTATACTTAGTGCAGGTTAATAGGTTTTTAGAACAGTGCTCTACCTTACCGGTAAAATAATGCCAGCTCTCTCAATTTCTAGATGGCTTCTACCATTTTCAAGAACCTTAGATTATTTCATATTTTAGCAGGTATTTTGTAAGAGACATGGTAGTAACTTAACTCAAGTTGGCGTCAATCTTTGAGCTGGCTCTGTTTAGCCAGCGCTCCTTACTTTTAGGCATTAAAGTCTGATTACGATGCACTTTTTTTGTAGCACTGTATGAGGTAGTCAAATTAGCTCAAAAACAAAAAACTATGATTATAAATTTATAAGCCCATTATCCTAAGCCAGGAAGTGTGCTGAATTTTCAAAATTATACACTCTGTAGGACGTGTCTAAGGACGTCCCATGAAAGTATGGCGGCAGGGCTTTGCGAAGAGATGTTATATTGTCAGTTGCCCGATAACCTCTGAGAAGATAGGCACACGTGGCGTCTGGGTGTTGCAGAATGCCACAGCGCGTTGTAGGAGGAACTCATATGCAGGTTTACAATCTGTAGAATAGTTATTGTCATTAAGAATGAAGTCCTTCAAGGCTGAATAGTTTCCCCTATGTTTTCTAACCCAGAGCCTTTGATCTTCACCATGATTTTTTCATCCTTTTGTAACATATGTTTGAAACAAGAATTTGTTTAATTTTTTATTTAATCTCTTTATTTTTTATTTCCACAGATGAGAACCTGGATCTAAAGCATGATGAGCCATTCCTACTATCTATGGCTAACTGTGGGAAGAATACAAATGGCTCGCAGTTTTTCATGTGAGAAATAATTCTTTAATCTGATGAACGTTTTAAGATCGATAGTTTTGACGTAGAGACCTGCCGCTTAAGATCAATATTAAATATTCTTGACTTGGGATTGCAATTGGGAAAGGGACTCAGGTGCACAGAGGCAAATAGAGAGCTGTCAGTACAAAGTTGGAAAAAAAATTTGTATTTGAGTTTTTGACAGAAAAGACTTCAGTAGGCCATAAAGTATCTGTGGACAGTTTATTTCATTTTCGTGCCATTTGTGATCGTAGAATTCTTTTATATTCCAACAACTTGAAACTGGGGACAAGGGAGATGAAACTATTGAAACAATAACTGCTCAGAATTTCAGAAAAAATCGTACCAACTTCACACATCGATGGCCAACATTGAAAAATGTGTATTTCCGATTGCAACTTTGCCAATCCGCAATCTTGTCATGATTTATTTTTTTTTGAAGAAAAGTAACCAACTGATTTTAATGAAATCTTCCGTGAATTTCCCTCACATATTCTTAAATATTCACAGAAAACTTCTTAGAGTTATTTGGGTTAGTCTTCTTTTAAAAGAATAAAGCATAATCAGAGATTTTGAAACGTTTCAATAGAGTTACTCATTTTCCGACTTCAGTCATCGATACGAATAGTTGGTGTCCTAAGTATGGCCACAGTGGCAATTGGAGTAACTCTTGGTTCAGCTAGGAGCTTGCAGATAACTGATTTCAGAAATCGAAACCTTCAAAACAAGCCAATCCTAAATGCTGGTTCCTACAAGTTGTTGTAGCAGTCAATAATTTAATGAGTTTTTTTCTTAAAACTGGAGCTTCTGAACTGCTGTACTTTTGATCAGGTTTGACATTTTTTGGCGATTATCGAATGATATGATTCATGGATCAATGTGGTGTGTTTAACATCACACCTTGAGTTTTTCAGCACTAAACTCTCTTTTCCTGTTCAAGGTCACGTTTTCGTTTCAACTGCACAACTTATACATGAGTGTGTCATATTTATCGATGCCCTAAGTGCGGAACCACGTATCTCCATTTGTGACATTGCAGACTTCATGGTTTCCTTGAAACACTAGTCAATGTAATTCATCAAAAACTTCCTTAATTTTTCTTCTCTATTACCAGAATATTCTGTAAAAATTTCAAGCTGTGAAGTTGGCTTGTTTCTCCTTGAAAAGTAAAGTAGAAGTGGACTTTTTGAAACACTGTAAGGTAGATATGTGGTTTCGCACTTTAACTATCGTTATGCTAAGCAGTGGCTTATTCACCATCTTTCACAGTAAATGCTGAGGGAATTACTTGCCTTCTAGGCTTTCCTAAATGTTACTGATCTTTCTATTTTCAGTGATTTTTTTAGAGTAGGGAAATTTATCAAACGCGAGTCTTACTAATTGTTGAAAGGATAAGCTTTCGCTCCGAGACGCTTTTGCTTAGTGATGAAAATAATTTATTCTTCCGTGACCATGCATCCTCTGCACCTGTGTACCTTTTCATACTTTTTCGACTTTAATACTTATGTCTCAAAGAAAAGGCAATCAGCTTACACAGGAAGAGCACTTTACCACTGACATCACTTTATACTTTTTGAAGTATGTTATGTACAGTGGTAAAATCTTGATGCATGTCCAGAATTCAGTCCTTTAAAATTGTGAAAAACGGTGTCCTGAAACACATAATTTAATATTTCATCTTGCAGGGCTCTCTTTCCTCATGGATAAATTGAGGAAAAGCTCAGGAAAATGGCATTTTTAGCCCAAGTGAGACGAGAACATTGAAAAGTTAAGAAGTCATCACATTACAAGGGAGCTTTTATGTAATGCTAATTGGAAACTGTTCAAAATTTCATCAAAAACACCTCTGTTATTTTTGTTTTATGAGAGCTGTTTGACCTCTACTATCATCTCATTGAGCGCGTTTCTTTGTTGAGATGTTTTGGTATTCTTTGTGTTGATTCATTGGGTCTCGGTAATTCCTTCAGTTTTGATTCATCAGAATAACCAAGTATACGAAAGCAACTCTCCGGATCAAGAAATCCACAACCTCAAGGAGCAATATTTATTAAGAAATGTAAAAAAAGACGCGAAATGTAATTATTTTTATGGAAAGAGCCTGCTAGTACTTATTCAAAGTGCTCACCTAAAACTGCTATGAATCCAGTTCGTGTTTTAATTTTTTAACTTTTTTTGTGCTAATATATTTCCTGAGTGCTCTTTCACTTAATGATGCCAATAAATGCAAGTTTTAGTTATGGTACCAATTTTCTTTTTGCAGTTCATGGTAAAATTTGGGCAAAAAAGAGCAAAATTTGTACTTGTGTCAATCTCCTTTAAAGTGGATCTTCAGCTCTGCCGCCATGCATTCTGGGTACAATCGATGTATTTCAAATTTTAAATTCCAAGTGAATAATTTTGAAAATTCAGTCTCTACATCAATCATTGTGGACTGTTGTGCCGAAAATTATTTTCCAAAATCTGAAAATAAGGTCAAAAATACTGTTTCCAATTTGCAACCGATTTTGATATTGATATAAATGGTTAATTGGATTAAGTACTTTAGACTGCATTTCTAGATTCTGGAAGATGGCTCGCTGCAACGCGACATCAACATTCCTGGCTGATAGAACTAGCGACTGAAATTTCGATTTTTCCAGAAGAATCCAATATATGGTTATACTGTGAAATAAATTGATAACCCTGAACAAATTGAGCCAATGGAAAATTAATCACCAAAAAAAAAAATTATTTTGAAAATCATCTGGCCAATAATCTTTGTCAATGATATTAGCATCCACATCACTTGTTGCCCTCATTTTAGTTTTGTAAGCTCAACTTGTCGTTAGAAGTTCACTACTTTTATTTTTTGTCTAGTGACAGACCTGATTCTGGAAGGTCATTGGTTCATGATTCATGTTTTCTTGTTGTAGTACCACACAACCAGCGCCTCACTTAGATGGGTAAGTTTGCATCCCTTATTCTTTGATCCGTTTTTTTGTAACTGCAAGATTGCAAATGCTCATGTTCTTCAATAGATTTTGTGTTGGACACTGCAATAAAACTATAGAGATGCATTTACTAACAAAGCATCAGGCACATAGAAAGGGGGGGGGATAGAGAAAGGGATGTACATAGTAGAACCATTTTATACTTTTGTGGATAACCTTTTTAAAGCCGATCAATTCTCTGATATTTCTTGTACTTTGACATTACGTTTATTTACTCTCATTCCCGTCGGACTTATTTTTTCTGAATATCTGGAACATTCAGTGCCTAGAATTTCCAGGATCGTTTTTCAGAATTGATGATGAAATTACAGGAATGCGTGTCTCGGTTTGCACTTTGCAAACTGCCTGTTATACTTGATTTTTTAAATGGAAGAAAACCCAACATCATTTCTTAAAGACTTCATCTGAAGAATAATGCACCTATGACAATCTCTATGATTAGCGTTGGTTTCTTATCCATTCATAAAGTAAAATGGAAGCAAAGATTTTGAAACCCTACAAACGAGAAACCTACTCACAGTTTCGCTGACTATGTTCTTCTCTAAGGTCATGAGCATTTGTATTCTTACCTTTTCAAATAGTTTTTTCTCTTTCCCATGTTCTACTCAAATTTTAAAAAATAGTTCTGACAAGTACCCGCAATTTTGAAGTAAGCAATTAATCAAAAGAATCTGAATTACCAAAAAAAAAGAGAGATGAAGGGTTTGAGATGGTCCAGTTTCCAAAGATTACCTTTTTTTTTTTCTTTTTTTTTTGTATTTCTTTATAGCACAATGTTCTCATTCCTGTAATTTGTAGATCAATATATTTGAATTTTTGGTGACTGAATGGAGTCAGGTTGATTCCCATTAAATGCGTCCAACTGGACTACAACTATATTGGACTGGAATTTGGAACTATAAATTCTGTCCCGGTTTAAAAACAACGTATGTGCCATTAGTTTCCCTATGCACATATGTGTTTTTTAGATGAGCCAGAATTTATAGTTCCAAATTGCAAAATGCAGTCCAACTAATCATTTGAATATTAGTTTGGAAGTTTGCAAAGAGAAATGTATTGTTATCAAAATCTTTGGACCTGCAAACGCTTATTTCAGCGAGAGGTTTCATATTTTTGTTCTTTGTTCCGATAGAGTTCACGTCATTTTCGGGAGAGTAATATCTGGTCAAGAAGTCGTGAGACACGTGGAATCTCTGCCTGTGGATCGGATGAGCCGCCCACTTCAGGATGCCAAAGTAGTCAATTGCGGTCAACTTGTACTCAAGTCGAAGTCAAAACCCAAAGGTAAGAGTTGCCTCTGTCCTTTTTTTTCTCTCTTTCTACCACAGAACTGGTTCTCTTTACCAACTTAGGATATTTAGCGACCTGGGAAACCGGGAAATGTCTTGGAATTTCTTTTTGAGTCACAGAAATCAGAGAAAATATCAGGGAATTTTATTTTGTAAGCAATTTTTGTGTCAGGGAAATGTCAGGGAAATCGAAAAATACAATTTTTTTTTTGTTGAAAATTGATGATCAATCAAGTTTCGGAAAAATGGAATCAAAACCAAAATTTGTACCAGAATGTCTGCTGATGTCTTTTAAAGTTTAAAAATGACGCAAACATATCTTGCACAAGTTGAGGCGCCATGTATTTTACTGTATGTATTCCTAAACCATGAAAAAATTCTCACTTACATCTAATCAGTTCAACCATGTTGAAAAATTAGGAATATTTTTCCTTTTTGTAAGGGAAATGTTAGGGAATTATTTTTTCCGTCTGTCAGTGAATTTTACATTTTTTCCTGGTTTTTTGGCCGATTTTGTCAGGGAATGTCAGGGAATTTTATTTTTCAAAATTGCTAGACACCCTGCAACTCTAAATGCTGCATCCGTCATTTGAAAGTTGTAGCAGAAAAGAAACAAAACAAATGTAAAATTTAAATAGTTCAGTATCGAAGTAAGAGTTATGTAATTTATGAAGGAAGCTGATACAGTACTATGCTGAATATCAGAGGTGTGGAAAATGCTTGATGAAGCGTCCGTCTTGGTTTGTGAAAATGTAGCAAGGTCTCGAAAATGTCAAAGGAGGGAAGATTTTCATGAGTCAAAAGTTGTAAATCAGAGAAATCATGGAGAAAAAGGTCCTTGCTTTTAAAATTGGTGGGTAATTCTGTTGAGAAAAATGTCGAAAGCCAATGAGCAGGCATCAGGAAATGTAGAAGCTCAAAAGATTCTGCACCCCTGCTGAAAATATTTGTAAGTGCTCTGAAAAAATGCAGCTCGAAATATCCCACTGAAAATGGACAGTTTCTAACCATTTTCAATGAACGAAGTTCTAATTTAGAAGTTTCTCCAGATTTAATGTATTTACATTAAATCTCACAGGTAGGTGAACTGAAGTCTGTCAGTGAATTCTTTGCTTTATTTTTAAGAACGAGTAAATATCCATGGCCAAAGTGTGAACCGCGTAGGTATCTCCATTGCGGTATTTCAAATTGTCGGTTCCTATTTTTTTTTAGGAAAAATAACCCAAATTTAAAGCTTGAAATTTATGCACTCCGCATTCTGCCAACAGATGAAAGATCAAGGAAGTTTTAAAAAAATTACATTAACTAGTTTTCCTCAGTAAAAATTAAATATGACATGAAGTCTGCAATGTCGTAATCGGAGGTACGTTGTTTTGCACTTTAGCCATTGATATGGATTAGCCTGGCAAATTTTTTAGATTTATTTTGAATATTGTGTATTTACAAGTATCATTCATTCGCTTAATGAATTTTCAAAACCTTTCTAGCTAAAAAAGAAAAGAAGAAGAAGAAGAAGAAAGAAAGTTCAAGCAGTGACACAGAAGATGAAAAATCGGAGAAAAAGAAGAAAAAACACAAGCACAAAGAGGAGAAGAAAAAGAAAAAGAAGGACAGGTGAGCGTCTTGTCAGTTTACCCATGGATTTTCATTCATATATGAGCAAAGTCCATTCCGGGTTGTCAGAGTGATAGTAAGGCATTTTAGAGTTTTTTCTTGTTTTTTTTTCCATTTGAGGAAGTAAAATAATTGTGCTTTCTCACTTGTCGTGCAACAGTCTAAATCTGTAAAAAGTACTTGCAGTTCACCCCTTTGCCGAGGATGACCAGTATGTAGAGATCACAGAGATAGTAGCAATTCCTGCGTTCTGATGCTCCTGATCGAATTAAAGGCGTTAATTTGGCTGAAAATTCTCAAAATAGAGCTTGGTTTATTTTCAAATGCTTCTGAGGCACCTTTTTAAAAGAGGATTTGGGATGAAAAAAGTGTTTGCGTTTAATTAGTCAAGGGATTTACGGAGCCCAAATCCCCAAGGAAAATCGCTCTACAAAAGTCTAAGTACCACAATGGATTTCAAACATGCCCAAATGGCAGAAAAATGATTGCAATAAATTACTGCAACAGTAAAATCGCTATCTCCTCTCATTCTCTAGTGATTCTTACCAAAATAAAACGCATTTTAATATGAAATTGTGGTTTGTTTACTACTAATAACATGAACAAGGTTGGTGTTGAGGCTGAGCAACATTGTAAATAAGTCCAGCTGATGTTAAATAAAAATATATATAGGTTAACTGCTCTAAAAAAGGCTGCGTGAAGTGAGCGAAAATAAATTGAACTTTCATACGGTGAATCTTGTAATTTTATTACTGAGTGTTAATGATTGTTATTGTTCACCTACGGCTCAACAGTTGGCTTCAACATTATTCTGAAGATGGTTATGACCATCCTGTTGTTTCCATGTACGAAGAGTAGAAAAACATTTGACTGAAGTCGCAGAAACCTATGCTTGCTTCTGATTGGTGCTAAATGAGATCATTTGGTCTAGTGGGAATCAAAGTGTTTTAAATTTGCGGAACAGTTACTCATTTTGAAATGTGTTTTTCTTGGTTTCCAAGTTACTTTCTCACTTTTTTAACTGTGTTTTATGCATTATTTACTGTGAGACAAGTGCATTTGCAATTAAATCAAGGTTTAGTGACCTGTTTAAAAAAAAAAAAAAAAAAATCCCATATTACTCATGCGATTGTGAGATACATCCTATCAAAAAAAAAATTTCGAACTTTAGCTGGCACCGAATTTTTTGGTATTCTGTGCGTAGTCCTTTAAAACGGTTCAAATTATCAACACTAACACATGCATAAGAGATAAGTTCCTGTGATTTTATTTTTATTCAGAAACTGATATTTATGTGCGGATTAACTACGCCATAACTGTCAGCTTTGAAATATTCATTTATGATTTTTTTTATCGACAGCTTGACTTATTGACTTATTTTCTTGGCAGGAAATCATCTAGCAGTGAATCCTCGAGTGAATCGGAGAATTCGTCTGAATCTGAAGCCGAGTATCATCCTCTAGTTACTGTTTCTAACATCGATCCGAAAGAAATCCCAGATGTACCGCAGCCCAAATTCCTTTACCGCAAAGTGGACAATAATGAGAAAGAGGATTCAAAGAAGAAGAAAGACAAGGACTCAAAGCGGGAAGACAAGAGAGAAGCAAAGAAGAGAGCCAAAATTCGTGGTTACACCAAGTCTGGTCGAGTCATCAAAGGGCGAGGAGTCCTGGTATGTCTCTTTTTTTCATAATTTTTGGAATATAATATAGTACTTCAATGCTCATTGTTAGCTCTTATTTATTTCATTTTGTTCGAAAATAATCTACATGAGCCCATTTATTTACTGGACATTCTCAGAAATTTTTAATGCCTCTTCTCGACAGGATTTTTCCCAAGCTCAAATCGCAGGAATGAAACTTCTGAGCTTTTTTCCCCGTTAAACAGCACAACAAAATTTTTTCCTCTTTTTAAGTCGTTCCTGGAACTCTACAAGGACTCTTAGTTGGTACTGTGATTAGTATTGACTAGCTCCCAACTAGTATTGACTAGCTAGTATTGACTAGTTTTCCCAACTTCGCCGGTGAGATTTTCCCTGAGACAAATCCCATGGGACGTCCCGTGGAGACAAGGCCTATGAGTGAACTTTTTTTAGGGAGTAATAACTTGCAAATCAGTTTGGTGAAGTGTCCTCAGTTTCTTAATTTTCCAACAATTGTTACTTACTTCGTTTAGCAAGTGGAGGTTTAAATTTTATTTTAAAATTCATATTTTAAATTTAACAATTTCGTATGTATAATACTTTATACCAGAACTTCATTTCAAATCTTTCATTTTAATTATTATTCTTTTGTTCCTTGTATCGTAAGTTGATAGCATAATTTTTTTTCATCAACAGAGGTATCGGACCCCATCTCGCAGTCGGAGTCGCAGCAGAACTCCACCGCACTGGAAGCAAGCTGCAAATCGAACCATAAAACTATCCGAACTTGAAAAGATGGCTTTGGAGCAGAAAGAAAGAGAGGAAGAAATCAAGAGAAGAGAGGAAGCGAGGAAACAGCGACACGCAGAAAGAGAAAAAGAGCTAGCCAAAAAAGAAGAAGAGAGAAAACGCAAGAGAGACAATCCAGAGAAAAGTCCTCACGGCCGATCAAGAGATAAGTCTAAAGATCAATCGAAGGACCACTCAGATGAGAAGAAGAGCAGACCTCATCAGTCCGATGATGAAAAAAGAGAGAAGATAACTAATGGCCATTCGAAGACCAGTGCACAAAATGAGAAAACTATGGAGGGATTAGTCGATTACAACGCTTTGGATTATGATGAATCTGGTGATGCTTCGGATACCAGTCGTGGCAAAGTAAGACTTGTTTTTAATTATTCTGTAGGTACTTGCATGCACTAGACTAGATCATTTATTGGTTGAATGAAAATCAAAGATCGGTGCATTGCCAATGTAAACTTATCCAATACCGTTTGGCTTTTCTGTTTACTGAACAAACACAACTCAACTGTCTCATCGCCCTCCCGCTGAGCTTTGTGAGATTGTCTGCTTCCCAAAATGTTTAATAATGCTCTTCCAATTAGGAAATGTATTGAACGTTGAACTATTTGCACATTTAATCCTTTTAAAGGTTAGGATTCAAATTAAAAGAAATTCAGCCTTTTATGAAGTTACAAAGACTTTCAGCTTTTGTCTATTTTTTGGCAAAGGAAAGAAAAGTAAATTTCTTCTCCAAACTACCAATGTTGCAACGTTAATGCTAGGAAACGCATTGACACCAAAATTTCGATTGTTCAGCCCCTTATTTTTGGAAATAATACTTTTGAAAAGCTCTAGATTAAAGGTTAATGTAATGAAATAATAATGGAATTTAGCTGCAGCAACGTCCTTTTTAGTTTCTTTTATTACGTTAAATAATGGTTTATTCCATTCTTAATCCAGGTCTCTTTTTATATTGCATTATTTTGTATCCTCATGCATGTAGCCCTATCCATGTAAATCTCCTTCTTTCTTTTAGTGTTTTAACTGTTGCGCTTTTTCTCTTATTACAGGAAAAATCTAGTCCCAAAAATGATAAGAAGAAAGAAAAGGACAGCGATGCCATTGTAGCAGAAATGTTCGCTCAATTGAATGCCATCGAAGAAAAAGCCCACTCTTTGGAAGGCAAATACACCAGCTCTAAAAGCGAGAAGAGCCATCGGAAACAGGACTTGGGAGCAGACTCAGGGGTGTCGAAGACAGAAAAAAAACTGATGGATATGTTCCACTCAGGAGTAAATTTCGACAAAAACCTCTTGAAGCACATCAAGCTCAGCAAAGAAAATGTCATCGAGAAAAATCAGTTATCGGACTCCTCCTCTGAGGATGATGAACCAAGTCGTACTTCACGCTTCAAGCAAACTGCTAAAGCTGAAGCGAAGGACGGCAGACGTAGGTCAAGATCCAGAGATCGACGAAACCGTTCACGATCTCGTGATAATAGTCGTAGGCATCGATCTCGATCTCGGTCGAAAGGACGAGCAGTTTCCTCCTCGCGTAATAAACGAACTGAAGAAAAGCGACGGTCTGTATCACGTTCCCGGAACACATCTCGATCTCAAAAACACCGGTCTACCTCTCGATCGCGGAATCATCGGTCTTCATCTCATTCAAAACGTAGGAAATCTAAGAGTAGGTCACCTCGTTCTAGACATCACAAGTCACGTTCAAGGTCTCATAGCAGGCGCAGGAGCCCCTCGAAAGACTCCAAGCGAAATAGGTCAAAGTCCCCTGCACGTCATACTAGTAGCTCAAAATCCAAGGCCTCAGAGCAGAAATCCAACAATCGTAGATCAAAATCCAAGTCTGTGGAGCGCTCGAAAGTGTCCAAGCGTCACCGCAAGTCTAGCAGCTCCTCGTCGAGTGATTCTAGTGTAGATAAGTCTAAGGATAGCGCGACCACTCGCTCCGATAAAGCACGGAAGAAGTTGACGGAACGTTTAAAGCATTTAGAGAAAGTGAGGGAAGCGCGATTGAAAAAACGATCCGCGAGTTCCTCGGACTCTGATTCTGACTCTTCCTATGACAAACGTAAAAAGAGACGACGCTAAACTGAAGTTTACCTCCTCTGATCACTGCGTGCGTGGAGAGGTGTTATTTTATCTGTCCTCAGTTTTATGAGTCTGAATAAATCGTCTGTGATGAATCTGAAACTTATAAAATGATACTTTCTAAAAAAACGTAAATAATGCAAGTGAGTTGAGCTCTGTTTTAATCAATTATACAACTGTTAAGGTATTTTAATACTTGCTTTTTCAAGTTTTGTTGCTGTCAAGGCACTTACAATCTGACTTTATCTCTAAAATTGAGGAATGATAATTCGGGACTTATCAATAACTGTCAGTTGCTGCCAAAATATTTTCACTGTTCTATCAACTTATTGTATGAAACTCAAATTTTCCTTGATTCTTTGGGTGAAAAATAAATCCTAGTTCCAGTTTCAAAAAATGTAATCTTGTCGTAGGAAAAAATCAGCATTGGTTACCTGTATAATTGTTCTGGTGAATTAAAAAAAAAGAAGAACTATGAATTTTTTTGCATTATGACTCTTACCTTTTCAACTACGCATAATTTTTTTTTGTTCTGTTTAATTATAAGCAGTGTAAATTTTTTTTTTTTAGAACTAATTAGTGAAACAATACATCGATGCCGAGTTTAATCACAATTTTCAGCTTCGGCAACGCCTTGAAAGCCTTCTCATTCGTCCTTCAAGTTGCATCAAATAAAAGCTTTATTTGATAATTCTCCGGAATTTTTTTCTCTATTTCATTTTCTTGCCCTCTTCTCAATTTTTTTTAATTACTCAGGAGTGATTAAGCGAGTATATATTGGGATTGAAACATATGCATGAAACTTAGATTTTACATATCAATGGCTAAGAAACAATACCGTCTAACTAACAATTTCGGCGTAAATTAGTAAGCAACTTTTGCAGTATCAAATACGCAAACTGATGTTTTTAATTTTTCCTGCATGTGAGCACTGTAATGAGGATGCAATGTTAAAAAATAAACAGCAAACCTAGCCTCAAAATTACAAAAGTGGCGAAGTTCTTTCTTTGCTCTGGAAAATTGACAGCCAGTTGCGGGCCGATTATTGAAACTGATAGACAAAGCGATAAACAAAGAAGACACAGGGAGTATAGAGCGATCCTATTGGTTGACATGGTTGGTTCTTATAGACTAAGGAAGAAAATGATGGACTAACTGTCGGGTCTTTGGTGGGTTGCCGTTAGTCAGTCCATTACCTACCTCCTATGTCCATTGCCACCACCTGCTTCCACCAATAGGATCCCTCCAAATCACTTTTGTCGTCTTTGTCTATAGCTTTGTCTATCAGTTTCAATAATCAGCCCGCAGGTAGGCTGTATTGTTCCATAGTCATTGACATACTTCCTTAACTCCATGATCAGTGGTATACGCTGATGGTAATTCTGAATGTATAATATATCTGAAATTAAGTATTCGCCTATTGAATACATTCAAGAAATAATGTTTTCCATGACTTTAGAAAAAAACATTTTACTCCTAATGTGCTCCCTTGAAAAGCATCATTAAGAAAAAACAGTGACCTGTAGTCAACGAAGAGTTTTAGCTCAAGAAAATTTGCCAAGAACCCATTTGAACTGAGACTTGCCGAAAGGACAAACTTCTGTAAAACTGTAACTTATCTTAGCTGTACAGGGTTATCCAAAAGTCCCGCAATACTAGGCATACCAGGCGTACTGGGCATCACCTCTGTAACTTCTTACAAATTGAGGTAGAGACTAAAAATGTTGTGAGTGCCCCTAGGTCAAAGGGAACGATTTTTGGAAGCCTTCAAAATTTCAAAGAGACTCTCCCGGAAAAAGACGAGAACCTTAGGGGCTTTAGGGGTGGTGGGGGACTTTTTGATCACCCTGTACAGCATTTATCTGCAGCAAGTCAAAAACATAAACCTAGACCTAAGCTGTAATTAAAGCTTCATGCCATCAGTCAATTCTACTTCTATAATCCATTGGTTAAGATGTTTGATCTATTCCTTGCAATGTTTGTGATAAAGCAAAATGTTCCTGAATTTTCAGCAAATTATTCCCGAACATTCTGTTCATTTAAAAGTGATGAAGTAAAGTAAATCATCCACATCTAATTGAAATAATAAAAAATTCTGTCGTTGATAATGACTCTTGTATTCCTCATTTTCTCTCTCTTTTTGCATCGAATCAAAACAAAATTGCATTTTCTAATATCTTACATCAAGAATGAGCTTAGATTTCCACTTTCCGCAGAGTCTTGTTTTTACGGTTCACGCTAACGGATAGCAAAAAATTATGAGATCTGATTTAGCGTCAAGTTTCTACAACCAAGATCAATGGAGATGTCGCTCATCAAATTCACCGTGGTAGTGCAAACCACGGTTTCTTACTTCTCAGTCTAATCCATGGTGTCTAGACCAGGAAAACCAAGACTCATCAGGGAATGAAAAATTTTAGGGGAACATCAGAGAATCTGATTCAGAAATCGGAAATCACTTCTTCTGTAACAGTTAGAATCTCATTTCTCTTTAGTTATCTTAAGACTACTTTGGTACCCCCCCCCCCCCCCCCNGTCAAATCGCGCACTACAACGGTCTCAGCAAGCCTCTCAATCGAGCAATGTTCATTTCCCTCCATGTGTTGTTCAAACTATAAGCAATTTGTTATAGCTGAGCCAAAGCGTCAAGATTGAGGTTGCCAGATTTTTATACTGCAAGAGACTGCCATGATAACGTTTAGCGAGCAATGTGAATCACGCAGATCATTGAGTTTTCATGAGCGGGTGGTTTGAATTCACACATCAAGAATCATTAAATAGCTTCATAAGGAGTTGATTTCGGTAATTTTCGTTGTGCGCATCGTGTTGTACATGAAATTTTAGTTAAGAAACATGTATTAGAATGCTGAAATTCGTACCTTGTCTAGTGGTCCATTTTGGTATTGGTCCATTTTTCATCATGATGAAAAGTGGAGGTTTTCCTCAACCAGAAAAATGCGAAATATCTCTTAAATTGTTGGTTGTAGAGCATAACGAACTAAATATTGCAGCTTCCCTATACTTCTGTAATTTACTTTTGCATCCTCCCATAGGCCTATGGGGTGAGGAGCCCCGAAGACTCAATACTTATTTTTAAAATTTTGATGCCGGTCGATTTTCATCATGATAAAAATTGATCGATTTTTGAGGCAGAAAATGCGAAAACCTCTATCCTTTCCCTCTTTATTCCTTGATACAGCAGTGCAACTCTTAGGCAAAAGTTCAGATGCTGATGCTGCTGAGACTCTCTTGACAGGAACCTAAAGAAAGGTGTGAGAGTACGATAGGAAAGGTGATTTGGCCGAATTCTTGTAGACGAAAGTAAGACATTTTAAAAAGAAAATTAATTTTAATATCCAATTAAAAAATTATTATTACATAAATAAAAAAATAAAATACGAACAACTATACAATGATCAATAATATACAATGAGGTAGATAAAACTATTATATCAATTTCTGGAGAACAAGCAAACTGATACAATCAACGGATTAGTTTCAAGAGAAAGAAAAAAAAAACTAATAAAAAATTCAATCCTTGGTTGTACTTCTGAGTGAGTAGATTACTTCCTCTTTACATGATTCTATAAACTAGGAATTAATATTTACAAAAAAATTAATAATAATTTGAGCTTAATATAACATAACGTTGAAACAAGAACTGAAAGAGAGAGAAGTTTATGTCAAGATATATATTTTTGCAATTTAAACAACAGACTTAAGTTTTTAACATTTTATACTGTTCTTATATACACATAAATTTCTTATGTACACAAACATGCAAAACATACACCCCTGTATCCTATCTTTTTGTGAATTACAATTTGAGTCGTTGAAATGACGATCAGTGGCAATGATGAGAAACAGTTTGCAGACGGGATATTGAAAGTTGGAATGAAAATTATCAAAAAAATTGGCAAACTCAATAGTTTATTTAGCTTTGAAATTGGATTCAATTATTAAATTCAAGATCATTTAAATTCAAATTTGGTTTCATAACTTGTCAACTGTTTCATGCAGCGCATGTTCAAACAGGAACTCCAGTATTGAAGGCTTTCAAGGATCAATAGTTTAAAATGTAAACTTGTCACGCATATTCCAGCTTCCATCAAATTAACCTGCACTTAAAAATATTAGAAGAAAAAATAAATTTTTCAGATTACATGAGCCTCTTAATGGATTTAAAATGTTACCAATACCTAGAACATAGACCATTCAATTTTGATATAAAATATGTTATAACAAGAAAAAGTTCTTAATTTCATTGGGGTGGGTGGGAGAGGGGGGGGGGTAGAAAATAACAAAACAATAAAAACAACTTTGCACCCTGAAAAGAACCAATGAGCAAATAGTTCACCATGAATTCAATTTAGAGTCTCGAGACTTAGAACATAATTTTTGATATTGCTGATTCGAACAAGTTTGATTACCTACTTGATATACAGTACATGGAGGATGGTCAAGATATAAATTAATCCTGTCATTGAATCAAAATTTTTGAGGATGAAAATGATTCAGTGAAAGTCATGAGATGGTCTTCACTAATCATGAGTAAATTTTCTTTTGCATCGCCCGCATAAAAGGGAGTATACTCGGATTAAAGTTAAATTACAAGATAATTCCTCAGGAGATGACAAGTTTTTGAAAACCAACATTTTCTTGCTTATATTCTTCCGGCTGTGATTAAATTAATAGGGAAGATTACAAACTGATTGGAATCAAAAAGGCAAACGAACATGAGAACTGAAAAAGAAAAAAACTTTCATCAAGCCGTTCGAAAGAAAGGGAAACAAAAAAAGAGGGGGTAATGTAAAGATCAATACAAATTCTGCACCGCACAAAGAACCATCGACAAATCCACCATTGTTCCAATTTAGAGTCTTTCGACTGGTCTAAATGCACTGAGTTTCCAAGAAAATTTTGATAAGGCATAAGGGACCCACAATAAAAGTTACAAAATTCAAAATCACAAAACCACTTAACTGTCGATACAAACTGTTATGTAAGAAGTACTCAGCTTTCAAAAGTGGTGGCATCCAAGGATTTGTAGGAAAAACAAAAATTTGACAGATACGTACTGACAATTTTACAGCAGCATTGATAAAGGTATTAAGTAGACAAGCTTAAAAATAACAATAATTTTTTTCTTTTTTTTTAAAAAAGGGATAAAAGATGGAAGAGTATTGAGGTTGTTTTATTAATTTTTCAAAAACTAGGAATGCAGGGGTGTTTTGAAACTAGTAGCATAGCTACAGAGGATTGTTTCGCTGTAATGAGCTAACTTTTACACTCGCTAGTGGACTAGAATGGGCAAAAAGCTAAGACCCGTACCGTAATTAAAATCAATCAAGAATTGATCAATCAAAGTGATTTGAAATTATTAATTTTAATCAAGTCACTAAGCAAAATTTGCAACATGAAACAGAAATTCAAAACTCATTTACTTGAACTGTTACAATTCACTAGTTTGGATAAGAATCTAAATTCCGAGTCCGATCAAACACAAAACTTTTATTCAAAGATGATTTAAATGCAATTTGCATGCATAATTTGAAATTAATTTTCACATTTTGCATTCCATTTTAATTGCTGCGTGGCTAAAATAATTTAATTTTCTCTAATCTTTTATAATAGCACAACACCAGTTTAAAATAACTGCAAAGAATTGAGATGGTAATAAGCCTGTAAAAATATTACAGTGTAAGTACGAAACTATGCGATTGTAACGCAACTTCAATACCCTTGAAATTAAAGAAAAGTACAGTGATACATAATCAAACCAAACAAGAAAAAACATGGATCTAACAAGGATTGAAGTTCATGAGGAAAAAAACTCATACACTTCTTGCAGCTCAGTGAAAGATTTTGAATGATAGAGAAAAAACTTTGTTCTAATTAAATGAAGTTTTGAGTGATAGGTATTAGAATTTACAAAAAGACAGAATCTAGGAAATGACTTAGATGCGGAAGTTTTCTTCCTCAAAACCATTCAAATGTAAAAGGTCGTCAGCTATTTTTCTCTACAACCTAACTTGAGTAACACAGATGCACACAACAACATTGCTTTTAAAAATTTGTTCTGACATGCGTAGAAAATTGTAAAAAAAATAAATAAACAAGTCAAAAAATTAAGTAAAATTAAGTATTCAAAAAAGTAGCAAACTTTAACAGTGATCAGCGTTGATGATTACAAACATGGGACTCCGCAACGCCACAAATTTACGAACTAGTTAACTGGCGAGGATGCAGAGAATTACAACCTGTCAAGCATTTGTCACAATCATTTTCCTTTTAAAATTTACGTAGGATATCTTACAGCAGAAAAACTGTACAATAATAAGGGAATGAGCGATTTATTTTGATAAAAAATAGCACTAACTTAAAGTTCTTGAGGAGAATCAATGTTTTATTTAAGTGACCGAAAAGAAACTGAAAGGAAAATAAAGTCAAAATATCCTTTGAAAAATGAGCTAATTGCCTTTCATTGATTTTTTAAGGACATTTAAAAGAGGGAGGCGTTTTAAAGATTCACAGTACGAATTTGAGTTTCTTATTTTTTCACTAATTCTTTTTTGTTTATTACTTATCAGTATTTTTACATCCCACCTTTTCATAAATATTTCGTTCATTTTCATGTTGATGTGTCCCTTTCAATGGACTTTTTTGGGATAATACACATTCAAATTACAATCGGATTAATTTTACGTGGCTAAAAATCTCTGTTCTAGAACTATACCTTATACTTCATAGGGAGATGGCTACATTTCTAACTATAATAATACAAATTGCTTAGAAATAATCCCTGAGATTATACCAACTTGAACTAAATAGGAGAAAATTAATGAGAGAGTATACAGAAGGAAAAAAAAAGAAGAAAAAAATTGTAGCCTGAAACAGAAAAGCTAGGGGAAATGCAAAATTGCTGAGTTAAGTGAAGATTTAAACATTTGATCAGGGTTGCAAGAATAGATTTTTCTCCGTGGTGCAAAGAAAGTCAGAAAGTCAAAAAGAGTCCTGAAACCAGATACGTGTCAATAATGATGATGAAACATGCTCCTTAGAAAATCCATGATCGTGAGATGTTGCAATATGAGGTTAAAAGAAGAAGATCTCTTCAGATAAGAAAAAATTTCGAGATCAACCAATATTATCGGCTTTATTAAGATTTTCACTAAGGAAACTGAGCTGCATAATCCAAAGAGGATGTACTATAATGTGCCTAAATTCACTTTTTCATTTTTCAAATTACATCTCGTCTACATATGCAAACTTTAGTCAAACAGCTTTGACAAACTACAATAGACCTTGAGCAGAGTCAGAGGATGACTCAGCTTTTTTGTTTCATCAAACCAGTTTTGATTGGGTTGAAACTAAATCGTTGAAATAGCTGCACTCACTTTGCTCAAAATTTTAGCTTTGTAGCTGATGACGGTAGAGAAAGTCTGCTTGTGTACCGGAGATGAAATGTAATATCTACTGTCGTAGAATGAAAATTAACTTCCACTTTAAGAAGGATTCATAAAAAGAAAACGAGTAAAATAAAATTGAGTGTAACGAATGCTTGACTAACAAATTGAAGCGCCGGAGGGTTGAAACCACAAAATATAAGCGTTAACAGTTACATCAAATCGTAGAGATAACTCCTCAGAGTCAAAAGCACAGAGACATGAAGAATTGGGCTGGACAAAACACAGTGAAATAATGCTTGGATTCCCCCATGAAGCGTTTCATATGTACAAAAATGCGGGAACAATTTACAAGAACCATAGCTGTACATTAACAAGTTGTAGAACGCATCTCTTACAAAAACATCAAATGAAGAACTAGATCTTTCATATTATTACATTTGTTCAAATACTAATCCAATATACCCCCCCC